AACTCCAAGAGGCCAAGAAGAAGGTCGGGGAATCACTCTGCGCGTACGCTGCACATTGCAGGGAAAGCAAGAATGAACTCGCAGATTTGGTAAAAGCCCTCAAGTCTCTCGACAAGGAGCTGAGTTCACTTCGTCAGACGTTCAAAGCAAATCAGGAACAGCTGATACTGTACCAAGGTTTACTAGATACCGCGGCAAGGCTTGGGCCTGGCCAGACCGTTATCGATGTGGACCAATCCGAAGTTCAGAGAAGCCAACTACAAAAAGAAATTAGCAAGCAAAACCAAAGGTTACATCAAGTCGAACTCCAGCACCGCGAATCAATTGAACGCAAGCTTGAACTTGAGACCCACTCAAGCTTTCGACGATCGCATCTCCTGAGGCCCTTGTTGAGCTGAAATAACTGGTTGGTGGCCCTGTCCTGCTGAAGCTTTGGTCTCTTTGTCGAGCTGACAACTGCGCCAGTGGGCAAATTGCAGTACGGCGGAGCATTACGGTGGAGTATAAGAGTCTTGGCAGCAACACAATCAGGCACACAACCACACAGGCACACAACCCAATTAATGACAAGGACGATAGCATGGATATTTTCTTCAAAACCGGTGGCCATGCTGGGCATCCTGGCTGCTCTATCCCTACAGTAAAGTTCCGGGTGGCAGGATCACCAAAATCGCTGGTATCTATCACTGGTATACTGAGTCGACACTATGGGAACGAAGACGAATCAGCATAAGCTTAACTCGGTCAAGAGTCAATTTGGCGTGCTGCTGAGACGCGAATGGTGGCTACCAACTGGTCCCAGTCACTCCAGGTTCTGGCTATATTAACGCATCAGCGGCCCAGAGCTGGGTCGGTCAACTCCAGCACCATGAACGCCCAGCGTTTTCAAGCCAAAGGTATTCCATCCAATCTGAATCACTCAAGTTTTACATATTAAAAGCGACATAGCACGTTGTCACAGAAGGGAGCTATCATTTCCTGTTATCTGACTCCACGACCATTAGCAGGAGACCAGAGCAAGCAGCTGACGAACTCCGAGATCACCCGCCTCAAAGCGTCTTTGTCACATCCAGATCGTGAGGTCTGCGAGTATCCATAGCGGACCAAATGGACGACATCGCCGACACGCTCAGGATATATTCTAAAGACTGAGAGGGTCCTCCTCAGTCGGTAGATGGCGAGTTCCTGTAGGCAACTGATGCCGTACTTATTGGCAAAGACATACATGGCCGCATGACACAAGAAGATGGTCGTGTACTCGTCGCTCTGTGCTCTGTTGCTTTAAGGTTAGTATGCCGGGACAGCGTTTACATTGCCCTGGACCTAGAACAATTGGATCGTACGCTCTCGGTTAGACAAGCCATTGACTCTGATAGACTTCCTTGTCTTGATGGGAGCAAAATGTTCGATGGGGTCGGACGCAACGACATCGGTCACTGGCACAACAATAAGTTTCATGGTCTCTAGTCATCGAATTTCTTACCGGTGGCGTTGTCGATGTGATCCGCATGAATCGTGTCACCACATGTGAGGTTCTTGACGGCGGTGGGTTCAGCATAGTCACCTGTGTATGCGTATTGTATAAAACAAGCAAAGAGGTCGTCATCCACATCTTCCAGGATCACCGTGCCATTTCGGGCGTCGGGCATATTGCTGTGCATCAATGGGGCCAAAGTGGTCGAAAGTCGGCTGACCACATCACGGTGAACATGAAATTCAGTTCTTTCCTCACCGACGATGAAAACCGAAGCAGGTGACCTGAGAGTGCTGGCCATCTTGTGAGTAACTGGGTCTCACAATATCACCGACTTTGGGGCATACTTACGCCTTTGAAGGAGGCCATTCGATGAGGGCCATGGCGAGTTCAGCGCTCTTGTCGAAATATTGATTTGTTTGAATGGCTTCCAAAGTACCGGGCCCAGAGGGATTGATCCAGCCATCTTGGAGTCCATGCCCGTTCTTAACTGTGTGGGTGACCTGGTAAACCGCAATTTTTTTACTAAGCAGAACTGGTGCACCACGAATGGTAACCCATTCCAGATGGTGAACCACACGGATCTAATGCTGAATGGTGGGCAGGAAGTAGGGCAGGAGTTAGAGCTTGGCCATCACCTTCGCCCACGTAACCACTTCTTATCAAAGGAGACACTTCGACGAACGGATCTATGTCAAAATTGTCCCTAGACCGCGTGGGAAGTTTCGCGGACGTCCGATTCGAATACACATTCAATAGGCCAGATACACTGGAGCCCTGAATCCGTTTGTCTGCAATCTTGGTAGTGGTCTAGAGTTAAATAGTTTAGTCCTCAGAATTGAGTAATTGGCAACTTGGATTCGCTAGTATTTCTCTACTCAATCTGGGACAGTGATGCTCCGGTTGTACACCCCTTGTAGCCGTCCGTTATATTTTCATTTGCGGTTCGCTCCATGATTCACCTCCATCCTGAGAAGTGAGGTCAGAACGTTGTAACTCCAAATCCGATGGTACCCTCAGTATCTGCCAACTCACAGGAAAAGTCTCGTACGGCCACCCTCCTCAGGCATTTCTCTGAAGGCGGCGGATGACAAAAGCAAGAACGAGTATGGCTAGGTATATTTTCGACCTCAAAATCCAGGTCCTGGTGGCGTCCGTCGTGAACAGGAGGTAGAGCAGGATACCGTAAAGGGAGGTTGTGAAGGTTAGGAGTAGATTTCTGACTAAATGAGACAGAGTTACTACGTCATCCATCGTGAGTATGATTTGGCCCCGGAAGTGAAGGACATTCCAGTCTTTAGTAATAGGAGAGTGAATAAAATGAGTGTGGAAGGATGGTGACTACCTTTGATGGATGGCATCATTGTCGGACACAAAGCTGTCTTTTCCAAATCCCACTCCTCAAGGTTTGCTCTTTTATTTTCCGCCACACGTCCGCTTGCTTTTTACCACAAAGTTTGACCCCTCCGTAAGCATTATAAAGCTGGTCGTGGCGGATATCTCGCACTTGTTCCGCAGCTACGTGACTGCGGATGGTATCCCACAGAACAATCTGCATATGGTTGCTCCCATAGTATCTCCCATTGTAAGGGTAAACCCAACTAAGAAGCACAAGCTTTCGTTGATCTGGTCTCGGGAGAGCCTTGATATCGTCAATGTGCGCGATGTCGCCGTCCGAATCGCTTTTATCGTAGAGCTTGACTGTCACAAAGTCGCCCGTCTAAAAGTCTCATTTTGTAATGTGAAGTCCGGCTCTGAGTCAAGTTCATGCCATGGGGGAATGCTGTTCTGGAGGCTCGCAATAGTGTATATATTTTCAGGCTCCGATTGAACTGTATGTCGAAAAAGAGAATTTGCTCAGGAAGCTCCGTTGGCTTTGGGCTATCATTTAACACATTGAGTTGATAGTGATCTTGTTCTGCCTCACGTTCCTCGTCTGCTTCTTGTTGTTCCTCTTCTTCGTCTTCTTGTTCCTCTCCTTTTTATTCCTCTCCTTCTTGTTCCTCTCCTTCTTGTTCCTCTTCTACTTCTTGCTCTTCTACTTCTTCTTCTTGCTCCTCTTCTACTTCTTGCTCTTCTACTT